GCTTCATGGCAAAAGAAAAAAATTACCAGATCCATCTAGTGATTGCTTATAGAAAGATCTATTTATTGCCTCCAAATTATTACCTATTTTTTTTTATGTCTCCTTCCTGATTTTGGTCAGTAGCTGATCTTGGACTATTGCTTTAAAAGACAGATTAATCTGTAAATCGAGATTAATAATTTAGGTTTGATTTTTGAAAGTTCACTTTCTATTTTCTTTTTTTTTTCAGAGACAGAGTCTTGCTCTGTTGCTCTGGCTGGGGTGCAGTGGTGCAATCAGAGCTCATTGCAGCCTTGAACCCCTGGGCTCAAACAATTCTCCTGCCTCACAGCCTCCCAAGTAGCTGGCGAAAGCCCATTTTCTTGGTAAGATTTGGTTCTCATAATTTTTATGCTGATTGAAAATAATGCAATGGTAACAATTCAGAATAGGGGCTTCAGCGTATTTCTTTGACATAGACAGCAACAAGTGAAATTCAGCCAATTTTTCAAAAAATTAAATTGCTTAAAATGGGCATTATTTTGTATACCCTGAGTTTCTATTGGTGCCTCTGTATGGATAAATAGAATATGTTTAAATTTATTGACTTCCTGAACTATTATCCGTACTCAAAATTGCTAACTTACTGCTTCCCATAATGAAATGTATCCTTTCTCTTTCTACACATAGTTGCAAGGATTTGATACCAGTAAATCACTACCACGTGCATCTATATTGAATAATGGAATATAGCATAAATTCCTTTCATGTCATTATTTGATATTCTATTCATTCATACTATATTTATAATCGCAAGGTTTCCTTTACAAAGTAATTTAAACAGTAGAATGCTGGTAAACATTTAATAACTTCTCCAGAAAAAAAGTGTAGTGTTTTCAGCTTACCATGGTGGTCTACATATTCCCCCAGTAACTGACAACAGGCTACCAAAATGATATCAGTGTATGTGGAGTGGGGAAGAGATGTGCAATAATTGATTTTGGGAGCTGGGTCTAGCTGGTTCCAGCACAACACTGAATTTAAGCAATTAGATAATGGATATTTATTTAAACGATTTTTTTTGAAAAATCTCCTAACTAGCTTTAAGACTGAGTTTATCAATCAACTGTTCCAGTTGCTGTTTTTAAAACAAAGCCCATCTCTGAAGTATTATGTCAGATAATCATATATAACATTAGGTTTCTGGCAAAAAGAAAACTAAAATAAACAACAACAAATTCACCATCATTACAATTAAGCTGAGAATACTTCATATAAATTCTATCTACATTAAAAACATTCTTCTATCCATCTCAAGCAATTTTTTAAAATACCAATGAATCAAGTTTAATACTGCATTGAAATAATCTGCCACACATAAATAGTAATTGGGTTTATGTAAGCATTTTAAATCATTATTTAAATTTGAGTCTTTTATTTCCTAATCTGTTACGGGTAAATATGTAAAAGAAAGTTTAAAAATAGAAAATAAATACATTTTAAAAGGAAAGAAAGCCAGGTGAATGGTGTGGTATTTCTTTTTTAAAATACATCTAAACCTTCATTTAGTGATATATGCAACAATCAGCAGTTTTGACAACATAATCCAAATGTACTAAACTATTTTATCTTCTTGCAGACAACAAGGGGATTATTACAAACTGTTCTCTCAGCACCTTCCTGACTTCACATCTATAAAATTTCTGCACCGCACTCTGATTTTATTGAATTGGGTAAGTGCACTATGTTTTTTTATTAGAAAAACTTGTATGTGTGACTAAAAGTCATGAATAGTACTCTGTTATAAAATTGGGTTTTTATATATTCACATTAATACAGTGAGAAGCATATCTATTTAGTCATAAAACAATGTCTTCAAACTTTATTCAAATTAGAGACCTGTGTGCAGATAATCAAATTTATTGAATTATTTATTTTTATGAAGCTGAAGGCCACTTTTACATACTTCATTTCTAAAGTTGGGCTGCAAGTTTACAGACTTCTTCGTAATTTCTCTTTGTATAATCAACATATTATTTCAGCGTCTGCCTTTCAGAAAGAAGCACTTTTAGAACGCAAATTTCTACACAGTGTTTACTATCTGTAAATTTATTAGGAACCCAATAATGAATCATTCTGAAAAGGAGTAAGGAAGGAAAAAATAAATCCATTCTTACTTAAATATATGCACATTAAACTAGTATTAATCTAGGAAAAAATAATAGGTAGAAATATTATTTTGGTCATGAAAGTCTTACTCTAAGAAGCTCATCTCAAACTTCAACACATATGATTACTTGCAATTGCCTTCCCCACTTTGGCACATCTAAACCACATAGAAATTATACATCACTTGGTTAATTCTAGAGGGACATGTTTGTATCAGAACTTAAAGATGGGTTTTGAAATTTATCACATTATATTGTTTAAGATATAAAAAAATTCAATCTTTTACTCAATATGTTTACAGCAAAAAAGGTCAGGGAACAGATTCTTGAAAGTCTTTGGAGCATGTAGAACTCATGACCTTGAAAAATAAATCTTGCATCAAAGAAGATCTCAATTCTTTCTGAAGTCTTTCTAAAATACAAATATTTTATTTCAATGTTTTGATATTCTAATGGCTCAGAAGAACAATTTATATGTCCTCGTAGCTGTGCTCCTCTTTGAGATGTGAACTGCAACAGGGCTCAATTGCATTACTATTATTTCTCCATTTCCATGCTTCATTTCCTTCATGTAGCTCAGGCTGGAGAAAAATCAGCATGTTCTGATGAGTTTAATACTATGAGGCAGTAAGATGGACCTGAATTTAGTGGAGATTGGAGCTCCAAAATAAATATAACACCATGTGTCAAATAAAAAAGAAAAGATATTCTCCTGTACAAATCAGAAGAGATAGTAAAGATCAACGAATAGACAGCAACTTTTTCTTTAAGTCATACCTACACAAGCATCTCAAAACTATTGCAAACTTTAAAAATTATTTACCTTTTTCTTATTTGGAACACCTCATAATTTATTGAATAAACAAGGGTTTATGTTGCCTTAAACCAAATTTTACTGGCTTTTATTGAAGGATTTTCATATAGGGAGGATTTTCTGAGAATTTGTATATTGCTAAATAAAATATTTTTGCTAACCAATAGCAATAAAATTCTGCTGGATTCTATAACATAGCAATCTAAAAAGCATTGCTGTAAATTAAATTTGTCCCAAGTTTTTATATGCAAGAATTTCTAGGATTTTTCAATAGCACATCGTGTTCTATTCTTCTTACTGACAGTACCATAAAGGTATGTACAGGGCATCCTTGACTCACTGACGACACAGGGCACTACTTACTCATAGAGGCTGGGTGCCTTTGCAGGTATATGAGAGTTGCTATCTATTCACAAACCACTAAGCATTTCTTTTTATCAAAAAACCTTCAAATGCTCAGAGTCTGTGGTCAGTGAAGTCCCTTGGGTAAGTCTAATGAAGATATGCTTCACCAAGGCAGAAACCTAAATAGTTAAAAACGAAGAAATATTTACAACCATTTTTCTCCAGCAAGTGGAGTTCTTGTTTTCTCTAAGTAGTTGGGGATTTTTTTGCTGATACATTTTCTTCAGTCCATTTCAAAGTAAGGTGTCAAGGCTATGAGTACAAGCTCTCTTGGCCAGTCCCATACATGTCTGCAAGTCGTTTAAAACGAGGTCCCCAGTCACTCAGGTAGTCGTAGTTCTGATCAGAGTTTGAGCTGATGGAATCTAAAGAGCTGAGGGATTCGGCCACGGAGCCGTTGCCCTCAAACGCGTACGTCTGCAAAGAATCGTACGGGGGAGCGCCGGGGTCAACATCGGCTTCTTTCAGTCTTTCCCAAATAAATTCCCTAAAAATGACATTATCTGGGATGCTTTTAAAAGTCGGTCGACTCAGGAACTGAATTTCTGGAGTCACATCCCTCCGAGTCTTGGTGTCTCGGATGACATTGAGGTTTCTCAGCGCAGCCATGTCGAAAGCTTCTGTGTCTTCCTCTCCCCCGCCCTCGTCGTCGTATCTAACGATGTTTTCTCTGATGTCTCTCTCTTCGTCAAAAATAAGGGGCTCTTTTTTCCGTCTTCTCATAGTGACGATGAGGAGAATCAACACTGAAACAATGAGACAACAAAGGGAAAGTTTCAGTAAACTCACCACCTGAGCCTCCTCATGGCACAATTAGGCCTGTGATGTTGACTTACACATTTTCTTCCCTTTAAAGAGAAATGAATTGGCCACCTACTTACATGGGAATTCACAGCAGTAGATGTGATAAAATTGCTAAAATGGCTTTAAAATAGAACACTTTTATACATCAAGGAACTCTTTTCCACACCTGTTCAGAATTGATGTCTCCCTCTTTAACGTAACCTCCAAAGCATTTGATAGAACAAATTGAAGAGCCAGTTCAGAATAAATACAATAATTTCAAAGCCATGAAACACAAAGGGATTTTTTGAACTCCTTAATTGCTGGAAAGGCGAAGTGACATTCATAAATGTTTTGTGTCTAATTTAACAACTGTAATTTCAGAAGGAAATGGATTACAGCATTTGGTCAGGTTCTTTGAAGAAATGCCTAGTTCTTGTCTATGAAACTCAACTGTTAAATAAAATCCGGCATGTCAGGCCATTGACAAAGATTAAAAGCTTCTGTAAAATAAATTGAGTACCACTTTCATGTACAAAATACTGAACTTGGTCTTTATCCATTTTACCTAGAGACAGAACACAGGTTGTGAGATTTCAGCATCAGCCAAAGATAGATTTAAGAAATAAACCTTTAATGTTAGGAATTTTTCTTCCTATATCAAAACTAATAATTAAATCTTAAAGCATGTGGTTGCATTAGAAGGCAAAGGAGAACAACCACACTGTCTATTCTCTGGGCTTAAACCAACAGTATATCCTGTGTATTTTCCCTTAGTATATGCTGATAAAGAGACTGCTCTGGCTTCAAGTAACCGAATTTTCCCCAAATTGAGAACACGTTAAATTTTATGGCCCCTCGAATCATGTTGAAAAGAGGAGGGCAAAAAAGGTGTTCTTGAATTTTGGAATTCCAAAACATAAATTGATGAGTTATTAAATCTTTAATTATTTGTCTATAAATATAATACCATTTAACAATTTTTATTGCATTGAGTTTTTTTTTTTTTTGGAAGATCTAACAGCCTAAAATATGCACTAAGTGGATTATTGTTTGGGGGTACATTATTCTTGTCACATTTTTAAAGGGGGGCTTTAACTACTTACATTTAAAACATTTTTCAAAGTCTTTACTTTGGCATTAAAAATACATTTGAAAATAAAAATAGAAAACCAAGAAAGATACTAATGTAAGTCAGTATAATTAAATACAATAACTAGGGGTGAGGCATACTCCATTCTCCACCTTAGTCTACTTTCAAAAACCAAAAAGCAAAGTACTTATTTAATTTTAAATGAAATGAATCTTTTTTATTAATTTCAATAAAAAATTATGCTTTCTGAAGTATTTCTCTGCCATCTGCTTTACCATCATTGAAAGAAATGTGACTTATGCAAACAATTATATTGGATATCATTGTAAAAACGATTATTTCTGTGGCACTTTCTTTTCCTGTTGTATTTGATCCTGGCCTATTGGTCATCTCACAATCTTTCTACTTTATAGATGGACGGCCTACTGTTGAGCAATTAAGGTACATTTCTGAGCTCTTCTGGCCACCTTCTCATACTACATTGGCAGATACACTTATTCTCTTTTTTTGATCCTATTTACTGCATTTGTATGCTTTCAACCAGCTTTATCAAAATGGTAAATATAAAAGTTATTGCTTGCTTATCTTCCTGTTTCCATAAGTAGTCTGATACTCACCTTCCTTTCCTGTTAAATGGCTTGTCCCTTCTTTCTGGCAGAAGAAACTTCAGCTTTGGTGTTGAGAAAACCTTGTTCAACCTTTCCATGTGTTACCTGTGTGCTATTGGGACAAGTAACTAACTGATCCTAGCTATGTATGATAATATCAGCCAACTTCAATTTTCATAGAGTGTATTAAAGAGATAAAGAGTTTTGGAAATAATATAAGCAGAATTAGCAGAATTTCTGGCACTAGTAGGTGTTCACTGTCATCTTCTAGTCTACCAAGATCATTAATTCTAAATTCCATAAACGTAACACATGAACATATTGTGTTTTTCTTTAAAGAAGGAAAAACAAAGAACACAATTAAATAACAAACAAAGTAGAAAGTGAGAAAATGTACCAAATATGGTTAGGCATGTATACTGAAGATGAAACGAGAGACAGAAAAGGTGGTAAGGTAAGAAATGAAGGTCCACGCGTAGGACATATCATTTAAAATTCTCGATTCTCCAGGGTAGCTATTTTCCCATTCTATGGTTGTCTCAGATGCGTGAAACAACCTATTGATGGCCAATGTAATTAAATGAAACAAGGGGTGAGGCACACTCCACTTCAGTCTTCCTTCAAAGCCTTGGCACTTTCTATAACACTGTAAGCTGGTGCTTTCATAGAAGGTGACTGAGAAATAAAGCCTGAGGTTGACAAGAGCAAGAGCTCAAGTGGCAATTGCTTGCTCAAAGAAAGAAACGTCATTTATGTTTAAGACACATGGAAGAATAAAATAATGATTTTAGATTTATATACAGCTTTAGTTTCTGAAATCTTTCACATAGTCCTCCCCCCCAAATAAAAGTAATTACAGTAGAAACAAAGTGGGATCCAGTAAGGCTTCTTAGTGAGAATCAAATGGAGTAAAGCAGAGAATGGAGAGGGATTATGAGGAGAAAAATGATGGGGTGCACAGGTGGAGGCAGGCAAAAAATGAGAAATCTGTTACACATGTTAAACAGCAAAACTGAGGGGGAGAAATGTCCAATTGAGAGCAAAAGGTATAAGAAATAGATGAACATAAGAATAAGTGAGGATTTAAAGAGGTTAAGAGTTGTGTAATAATTAATTTAAATCAATGTCTAAGTAGGCAGAACATTTCAAGATTCTCAGTTCTTATAATTCTAATGAATTTTGCCATATATATACACATATGTATCAATTAATTTCTTATATTCTATTGTAAATGTATTTCATACTACTGATACACTTGCTTTTGATGCTCAAGTCTTCAGCAAAAGTGAAACCTGAAAGCACGCATGGGTATCTCATCCCACGGGTACAATACACATCAAGGATAGTAATATCTTATGGATTTTGCCTTATTTCCCAATTTTGCCCAAAGCGATGAGAAATGTGAAGTGTTTTGGAAGGTGAGACAATTTAACATTTCAACAACTTGAGAGAAGATTAATTTCTAACTACTTGAATACATATGAAAAATAAATTTTAACCTCTTAGAATAAGTATTAACTGCTCTTCAGGGACTACGGTGATAATCTCTGTATTAAGAAGAATATTTTCTGCCTAAGTAAGAACAAGATTATATATTTTAAGAGGTTTCGTAATTTGTCTTTTTGGTCATATAGACTCTACTTCTGAATGGATACAGAAGAAAAGATTTAAGTAGAGTTGAAGTCTAGCATGTGACACTTATATTGTTCTGGTTGTTCATAAATTTATAGGAACTACCTCATAGTAATTTTATGAAGATTCAGTGAATTTATATTCATAAAGTACTTAAATAGTGCTACACATAGTAAGCACTATCTATGTCCAATAATAAGTTATATACTGTGAACTTTTATGATAACGTCTTATACAATTCAGGTCCGATTCTTTTGGGTCTTGCTAAAATTTGAGTCACGGAACCGGTAAACAGAAAGAAATGAAATCTTTACCCTGACCTCACTTATTAAAATATGTGGGAAAGGTTGAAAATGTTATAGTAGATTGTGATAAATAATAGTCATTAATTAATTTAAAATATTTTTGTCTATATGTATCCCATGCTCAGCTCTAAGAATATACTGTTTAAAAAGAGAGGAAGAGAGCACGTGACAATGATCATTACTCTCAAGGTGCTTTCATACTTGAGCAAAGCAGATTAACATCTGTATATTTCCAAATTGTGATAAGTACTACAAAAGATATAAACAAATATTATGATGTAAAATAGTGGGTGTGAAGGGTGCCTTTTAATCATAGTGGTGAAGATGCTCTTCTTGAGTAGATAACACTGAACCTGGGACATAAAAGACAATCTAAGACTAACAGGCAAAAGAATATAGGGAGAATGTTTTAGGAAAAGGGTGGCACGTTTGAAAATAATGGGAAAAAGGCCCCGTGGCTCTTCCTGCTGGGTGAGTGAAGGATCAGACAGCCTGACACCTTAGAGAGGCGAGCAGGTGGCAGAACGTGCTTTGCTTTGTGGACTGTGAGAAACATTTGGATTTTATGTAAGTGCATTTGATGGTTCTGAAATGTTTCAAGCAAAGAAGTAAAATAATTTATGTTTTAAAAAGTAAAATTATAGGAAAAATACAGAAGTACCAGCACAATCTGGTTGTGATCAGAAAAAAAATGTCATCAGAAGTGACATCTAAGCAAAGATCTAAAGGATGAGTAGAAATCAACTTGTCATTTTGTCTGGATTTATTTGCTGTGGAATCAGAGTTACATACCAATTCCCAGTAGCAAAAAGTCAGACTTTTAACTTGTACTTATGGACCCACTCTACTACCTATTTTCACAAAGGATAAATAAATATTTGTTATTGATATAATCCAGGTGAGTGAGTGAGATAAATTAGATATCAACTAAAGCATTTTAAACTGAATTTTAAACTGATAATAATTCGTATCCTTGACATCTCTCCTGCAATATTTTCTTTATCTATCTACTTTTAGTCATCTATTCTGGTTTTTTTCTTGAGCCCTTGTATAGTTCCATGGCTATTAAACTGAAAATACAATTTAAATACTTTTAACCTCTGTCATATCCATTTTCCTGAGACGTTAGAGAAATAGGCTGAATTTCAGAAAAATGTCCTAAAAATGTAGAATCTTGGGGAACGGAAAAATCACAGTCCAATGGAGATACTCCTATGTATGACAAAAATGAAAACCAATATTCTTTTCATAAATGAGTACATTCAAATCATTCATACTTCATTCGCATGCATGTACGGGATGCCCTGTATATGTCAGATCAGCAT